TTCTAGTGCTCGGAACTGCAACCAGAGAGCGGTGACTGGAGCTTCTAGTCAAGAGGGCTGTTGTATAGTGGACGTAGCCAACCCACGCCCACCTTCGCCTCTCTCGTAGGCATGTGTTTGTGGGTAGCTGGCGCCCGCGCCCACGTAGCCATAAGGTGCCCTTAGATATAGACGAGTGGGAGAGGGAACGACTGGAGATGTGATGGGATGGTTCGCTGAGTGGAACGACACGCCGGCCACACGAGCGCCTCCACACGCCTCCTCGGCAGCTGTGAGGAGTTCGGCCATCAACTCCTAAATGAGTAACTCAGATTCTCATTCTGATGACAGGAAGCAAGTAGTCCAGTTTGGAGTGTGATGGGTTGGTGCAGCAGTATGCTCGGGGGAGATAACGACCACTAAGCATCACCACAACCACCTCTGCTCATTCACCTGCAGTCCCAACGGCTCCCACTGAAGCTCACGTTTGCCAATCTGGAATAGAAAATATACCATTTACAATCCACGTGGGTATTAATTGGTTTCATCTGAGTTGCTAGAGAGAGACTGCTCGTGTGGCCCACGGCACTGTCCCACGGCGCCTCCCAAAACAATTTAATGTATATTGAATGCTAAAACTTGCGAGATGATTTGTATGTATTTAATAAAATATTTTTACAAGTCTTGAGTTATCTTTAACCTAAACTTTGATGGGAAAATGTGCTTAGGTTATTTTCCTGTAATTGTCAGATGAACTTTAATGCATAGTAAAAACATATACATAGACAAGTGCATATTACTACAGGCACTCACATGATTACAGAACTTCAACCTGAACAAGTGTAAAGAAAGTGAAAACGGGAGAAGTGTTAAGTACACGTTTAACGAGGAACACCTCCACTCTCCAGAGACCAATCAACAGCAGCAGGAACACACACACACACAACTGGTAAACATCAGAAGGGAAGTAGCGAAAACCTTAGACAAAGTGAACCTAAGTGTGATAGATACCAACGAGAACAAACTAGAGATTACTCTGACGTCACAGCTACTCGGTAGTTGTGTGTATATATATATATATATATATATATATATATATATATATAACGGGGATAAGTTTCATGTCCACCACCGCCCACGGGATGGTTGTCTTAAAATTAATCAATATATTTTGTATGGGTCCACCACCGCCCACGCGGATGGCCTTGAACCCATTATGGGGTCCACCACCGCCCACGGGATGGTTGAGGGGGTCCACCACCGCCCACGGGATGGTTGAGGGGGTCCACCACCGCCCACGGGATGGTTGAGGGGGTCCACCACCGCCCACGGGATGGTTGAGGGGGTCCACCACCGCCCACGGGATGGTTGAGGGGGTCCACCACCGCCCACGGGATGGTTGAGGGGGTCCACCACCGCCCACGGGATGGTTGAGGGGGTCCACCACCGCCCACGGGATGGTTGAGGGGGTCCACCACCGCCCACGGGATGGTTGAGGGGGTCCACCACCGCCCACGGGATGGTTGAGGGGGTCCACCACCGCCCACGGGATGGTTGAGGGGGTCCACCACCGCCCACGGGATGGTTGAGGGGGTCCACCACCGCCCACGGGATGGTTGAGGGGGTCCACCACCGCCCACGGGATGGTTGAGGGGGGTCTACCACCGCCCACGGGATGGTTGAGGGGGTCCACCACCGCCCACGGGATGGTTGAGGGGGTCCACCACCGCCCACGGGATGGTTGAGGGGGTCCACCACCGCCCACGGGATGGTTGAGGGGGTCTACCACCGCCCACGGGATGGTTGAGGGGGTCCACCACCGCCCACGGGATGGTTGGGGGGGTCTACCACCGCCCACGGGATGGTTGAGGGGGTCTACCACCGCCCACGGGATGGTTATGGGGTCCACCACCGCCCACGGGATGGTCGAGGGGGTCCACCACCGCCCACGGGATGGTTGATGGGGTCCACCACCGCCCACGGGATGGGTGAGGGGGGTCCACCACCGCCCACGGGATGGTTGATGGGGTCCACCACCGCCCACGGGATGGTTGAGGGGGTCCACCACCGCCCACGGGATGGGTATGGGGTCCACCACCGCCCACGGGATGGGTAGGGGGTCCACCACCGCCCACGGGATGGTTGAGGGGGTCCACCACCGCCCACGGGATGGTTGAGGGGGTCCACCACCGCCCACGGGATGGGTGAGGGGGTCCACCACCGCCCACGGGATGGGTGAGGGGGTCCACCACCGCCCACGGGATGGGTGAGGGGGGTCCACCACCGCCCACGGGATGGGTGAGGGGGTCCACCACCGCCCACGGGATGGGTGAGGGGGTCCACCACCGCCCACGGGATGGGTGAGGGGGTCCACCACCGCCCACGGGATGGTTGAGGGGGTCCACCACCGCCCACGGGATGGGTGAGGGGGTCCACCACCGCCCACGGGATGGTTGATGGGGTCCACCACCGCCCACGGGATGGTTGAGGGGGTCCACCACCGCCCACGGGATGGTTATGGGGTCCACCACCGCCCACGGGATGGGTAGGGGGTCCACCACCGCCCACGGGATGGGTATGGGGTCCACCACCGCCCACGGGATGGGTATGGGGTCCACCACCGCCCACGGGATGGGTATGGGGTCCACCACCGCCCACGGGATGGGTATGGGGTCCACCACCGCCCACGGGATGGGTATGGGGTCCACCACCGCCCACGGGATGGGTAGGGGGTCCACCACCGCCCACGGGATGGGTATGGGGTCCACCACCGCCCACGGGATGGTTGATGGGGTCCACCACCGCCCACGGGATGGGTAGGGGGTCCACCACCGCCCACGGGATGGTTGGGGGGGTCCACCACCGCCCACGGGATGGTTGGGGGGGTCTACCACCGCCCACGGGATGGTTGGGGGGGTCCACCACCGCCCACGGGATGGGTATGGGGTCCACCACCGCCCACGGGATGGTTGAGGGGGTCTACCACCGCCCACGGGATGGTTGGGGGGTCCACCACCGCCCACGGGATGGTTGGGGGGTCCACCACCGCCCACGGGATGGTTGGGGGGGGGGGGGGGTCCACCACCGCCCACGGGATGGTTGGGGGGGGGGTCCACCACCGCCCACGGGATGGTTGGGGGGGGGGTCCACCACCGCCCACGGGATGGTTGGGGGGATGGGGTCCACCACCGCCGGGTCCACCACCGCCCACGGGATGGTTGGGGGGGGGGATGGGTCCACCACCGCCCACGGGATGGTTGGGGGGGGGGGGGGGTCCACCACCGCCCACGGGATGGTTGGGGGGGGGGTCCACCACCGCCCACGGGATGGTTGGGGGGATGGGGTCCACCACCGCCCACGGGATGGTTGGGGGGTCTACACAACCCCTCCATCCAAACAAAATATGCCAATTACTGAAAACTACGATTGGTCACATTTTGCCCAAACCCTCCTGCTGTTTTCAAAATATCCCAAATATCCCAAATCTGACTCCACAGCCATATTTTGGAGCTAAATTCTAACTCTCTGCATATATTTGCAGTTTGAAATTACGGCTTTTTATACCGAAAATATGTCAATTACTTAAACGGGCGATTGGTCACATTTTGCCCAAACCCCTGTACAGTTTTCAAAATATCCCAAATATCCCAAATCAGACTCCAGAGCCATATTTTGGATTCAAATTCTGGCTCTCTGCATATATTTGGAGTTTGAAATTACGAATTTTTATACCGAAAATATGCCAATTACTGAAAACGGCCATTAGTCACAATTTGCCCAAATCCCTCTGCAATTTCCAAAACATCCCAAATACCCCAAATCCGACTCCAGAGCCATATTTTGGAGCCAAATTCTGGCTCTCTGCACACATATTTCCAGTTTGAAATTATGACTTTTCATACCGAAAATAAGCCAATTACTGAAAAGGCGATTGGTCACATTTTGCCCAAACCCCCTGCAGTTTTCAAAATATTCCAAATGTCCCAAATCTGACTCCAGAGCCATATTTTGGAGCCAAATTCTGGCTCTCTGCATATATTTGCAGTTTGAAATTACGGCTTTTTATACCGAAAATATGTTAATTACCTAAACGGGCGATTGGTCACATTTTGCCCAAACCCCCGTACAGTTTTCAAAATATCCCAAATATCCCAAATCAGACTCCAGAGCCATATTTTGGAGCCAAATTCTGGCTCTCTGCATATATTTGGAGTTTGAAATTACGGCTTTTTATACCGAAAATATGCCAATTACTGAAAACGGCGATTAGTCACAATTTGCCCAAATCCCTCTGCAATTTCCAAAACATCCCAAATACCCCAAATCCGACTCCAGAGCCATATTTTGGAGCCAAATTCTGGCTCTCTGCACACATATTTCCAGTTTGAAATTATGACTTTTCATACCGAAAATAAGCCAATTACTGAAAAAGGCGATTGGTCACATTTTGCCCAAACCCCCTGCAGTTTTCAAAATATTCCAATTGTCCCAAATCCTACTCCAGAGCCATATTTTGGAGCCAAATTCTGGCTCTCTACATATATTTGCAGTTTGAAATTACAGCCTTTTATACCGAAAATATGTTAATTACCTAAACGGACGATTGGTCACATTTTGCCCAAACCCCCGTACAGTTTTCAAAATATCCCAAATATCCCAAATCCGACTCCAGAGCCATATTTTGGAGCCAAATTCTGGCTCTATGCATATATTTGGAGTTTGAAATTACGGCTTTTTATACCGAAAATATGCCAATTACTTAGACGGGCGATTGGTCACATTTTGCCCAAACCCCCCCTGCAGTTTTCAAAACGTCCCAAATATCTCAAATCCAACTCCAGAGCCATATTTTGGAGCCAAATTCTGGCTCTCTGCACATATTTCCAGTTTGAAATTATGACTTTTTATACCGAAAATATGCCAATTACTGAAAACGGCGATTGGTCACATTTTGCCCAAACCCCCCTGCAGTTTTCAAAATATCCCAAATCTCCCAAATCCTAATTCAGAGCCATATTTTGGAGCCAAATTCTGACTCTCTGCACATATTTCCAGTTTGAAATTATGACTTTTTATACCGAAAATATGCCAATTACTGAAAACAACGATTGGTCACATTTTGCCCAAACCCCCCCTGCAGTTTTCAAAACATCTCAAATATCTCAAATCCAACTCCAGAGCCATATTTTGGAGCCAAATTCTGGCTCTCTGCACATATTTGAAGTTTGAAATTACGAATTTTTATACCGAAAATATGCCAATTACTGAAAACGGCGATTAGTCACAATTTGCCCAAATCCCTCTGCAAT